AGCGGGAGCCGCGGGTCCTCCTTGCAGTCCGGGTAGCGGTCCTCGCGGGTCTCGATGATTTTCTGTTCGCGCTCGAGCTCGGCCCGCAAGATCTTCGAGAGCTCGTCGACGTCGTCGCACTTCGAGGCGTTCTCGATGACGTACTCGAAGACGTGGCCCGAGGGCGTCGCGACGCGGTTCGTGAGCAGGGGCTGCCCCGTGCCCGCGGAGTCGTCGGCGTCCGGCGGCGGGAGCTCGGCGTCGGGGTCGCGGTCCTCCGACGCCCACGCCGGCGGGACGTCGACGTACTGGGGGTCCTTGCGGCTGAAGCCCGGCGTCATCTCGAGGCGGCCGCCGTCGTGGACCCGCAACTGGCAGAGCGCGTGCTCCTGGCAGAGCCGCGCCTCGGCCTCGAAATCCCGCGTCCGGTCCTCCCGGGGCTTGGCCAGCTCGGCGAAGGCGTCCGCATCGAGATCCGTGGCGAGCATGATGTACATGGGCGTGCCCAGGCCGTCGTTCCGCCGGTCCTGCTTCTCGATCTTCTTCCGGCTCACGCTCTCCTTGTAGCCCGCCGAATGTTTGAGCTTCCGCGACGCCCGCGACGCCGCCAGGGGCGACATGAGCGTCGGCGCCGCGACGCCCATGGAATCCTTGAGCAACGGCTTCCCGTAGCCGTCGATGGGGCTGAAGCCGTCCGCGGCCGTGTAGGTGAACAGGACGTGGGACCGCGCCGCGGCGTGGTCGCGCACGCGCGCGACCTTGTCCGCGTCGCGCTTGCTCCCGGCGACGACGTCGCGGGGGCCCTCGAGGCGCTCCTGCCAGCGCAGCGTGTAGGCGAAGATGCGATTCACGGCGCTCTTTTTGCGCGCCTCCTCCGTGTTCGCCGCCGCCGTCGCGTTGCCGTCCTGCAGCTGGCGGATGCGGATGCGGATGCGCAGGTGGTCCAGGGGGTCGAGGATGCGGTAGACGGACGCCATGGCGGGGCAGCCCGCGACGGCGGCGGCCGGCGCGAGCTTAGTATGAGCCCGGCAAACACCTTCAAACACTCTTCAAATCGCCGATGTTACCCCGCCGCCGGCGTTAACGCCGGCGCGCCGACAACTTCGCCGACACTGCCGCACGTGAGTGCCGACGCGGTCTCCAGTGCCGGGTCGAAGAGGCCGTCGAGGAGCGCCGCGATCTCGGCGAGGGCGGTTTCGTCGAGGTCGAAGTGGCCCGTGTAGAGCGCCGCGGCCTTGGTCGCGACGGCGTGGCGCAGCCCGAGGCCGCGGCAGAGGAACTGGAACATCTTGTTCGCGTTGTGGCGGATGGGCAGCTCGAGGACGCGGCAGGTCGCCGGGGCGAAGGCGAGGTTCGCGAGGCCCGCGCCGTGGGGGCCGACGACGAGGGCCGCGCGGCCGAAGAGCGCCGCCTGGGCCGCGAGCGTCGAGGGCGCGCCCGCGAAGACGACCCAGCGAAGTTTCGGGACCGCGCGCGCGGACCAGGCCTCCAGCGCGCCGAGGAGCGCCCGCTCGTCGAGGACGCGGCGCGACCCGCCGCGCCGCGACACGTAGACGGCGACGGGGTCGTCGTCCGCGGGACCGCCGTCCAAGCCGAGGCCGAGCGCGGCCGCGACGGCCCGCCGGAGCGCTAAGACGCCGCCGAGGGACGGCGTGCAGGCGTCGTGGAGCGACGGCGCGCCGCACGCCTCGCCGCGGCCCACGGCGCCGCAGTCGACGACCCAGCAGCCGCCCGGGAGGTCCTGCGGGCGGCTCGGGTCGTAGAAGCGAAGCCTGGCGAAGCCGAGCAGCCCGAGGAGCTCGCGCTGGAGCGCCGCGCCCTGGGACTCGGGCAGGAGCCAGGTCGCCTCCGCAAGGCACGCGGCGACCGCGGGCTCGTGCGACGCCTCCTTCAGCGCGGCGACTTTGGCGCCGAATTCGAGCAGGAGGTGGTAGTAGTTCTCGGGCCCCGTCGCGAAGACGACGGCGTAGGGCCCGCCGTCCAAAGCCGCGGCCCGGGCCGGGTCGAAGTCGCGCGCCACGCGCCGCGCGGCGTCGCCGTCGTCCGCGGACGCCAAATTCCCCGCGAAGCCGTCGCCCTCGCCGCGCCGCGACGCGTAGAGGCGGTCGTCGTCGTAGACCGTCGGGTCCGCGCCGCGCAGGCGGAGCGACGGCGACGCGAGCCAGCCCAGGGCGACGTCCGCGCCGACGAACGGTCGCTCGCACGCGTCGACGGCGCCCGTCGGCCGCCGCGCGAGCGCCGCCGCGCCGCGCCGCGCGACCTCGCGCCGCGCGGCGAAGCCCCGTGGGTCCGTCGGCGCCGCGCAGAGGTAGACGCAGTAGGCGAGGAAGCAGGAGTCGCCGCGCGCCGCGTTTTTGAGGGCGTTCCCGTAGTCGCCCAAAAAGTACTCGCAGGTCCCGAGCGCCTTCGCGAGCCGCGGCTCCGGCGCCTCGGCGCGCTCCAGCACGAAGCGAAACGCCGCGGCCGCGGCGGCGTGGTCGCCCTCGCTCCAGCGCAGCTGGCCGAAGACCTCGGCCGCGCGGAGCGCCGCCGCGGACGGCGCGCCGTCCGCCTCCGCCGCGGCCTCCGCGGCGGCGCGCACGGTGACCGCGCACGCCGCCAGCGCCGGCGAGGCGAAGAGCCGCCGGGCGCCGCGGCCGCCGTCGCGGCTGCCGCGGCCGGCCTTGGTCTCCTGGCGCAGCGTCAGGCACTCGCCGAGCCACGCCGTCGCGGCTTCGAGGGGCAGGGGGCCGTCGCCGGCGGCCGCGGCCCAGGCCTCGAACTTGACCGCCGCCATCTCGTAGCGCTGCGCGGACAGCAGGAGGAGCGCGTCGAAGACGGCCTTGGGCAGCGTCGACCGCCGGCGGGCCTCGTCGAGGCCCACGAGGGCTGCCATAGGCCACTTGTGTGGGTTTCAACACGCATGCACCTTTCCTTCAACAACGACCGGAAGTGGGATGCTTAGGAGGCGGCGGCGCGCGCGCCCTAGCCGTTGCCGGCGGCGGAGATGCGCGGGATGTCGTTGTGCTCCGTGAGCGACGCGAGCTTGTCGTTGAACTCGTCGACGCGGCTCCGGTGCGACGCCTCGACGCTCTTCTCGACCTCGCCTTTGCGCTTCTCGAGGAAGCGCTTCTTGTGCCGCCGCTCCGCGTCCTACGGGAGGGACGAGATGGGTCGGTCGTCGTCGGGCGTCGCTCGCGGCGCGGCGGTCGCGCCGTCAGGTGGCCCTCGCCGTCGCGAGCGGGCTCCGACGACTCCGCGGGCGCCTGCGGCGGCGGGCGGTCGCGCGCGCGCGGCGGCGGCGCGGCGCGACGCGGTCTCCGCGCCGCGAGCTCCACGAAGGCGGGCGCCGCCGCCGCCTTGCGCTTCTTCTTCTTGCCTACGAGCGTTCGCCGCTGGGAGCGGCGGCGGCGCGGCGGCGGGCTTCCGCGGCGGCGGCCGCGCGCGCACCTTTCAGGTTCAGTTTGCCGCCGACGACGGCGCTCTTGTAGTCCGACATGTGGTCGCGCGCGACGAACGACGACGACGACGCGCTGCTCTTCGATGCTCAGCTCGGATGAGGCGCCTCACGCTGTGGAGTTTTTTACGCGATCGCTGCGGCACGATGGCTCGTCGAGTCGCAGGACTCGTCGCGGCGGCCCTCGCGTCGGTCGCCGCCGACGGCAACGCGACGACCGCGCGCGCCGTGTCGCCCGTCGCCGAGGAACTGCTACGCCTCGGCGTCTTCGACCGCGTCGTCGTCGTCTGCGAGGCCGGCAGCGCCTCGCCCATCCGCCTGACGCGCCGCGCCGACGACGACTGCCGCCGCCACCGTCCCGGCGGCGGCGCCTGGCCCGACGATTTGCAGGATCGCGTCGTCGTCGTCGGCGACTACCCGCGCGACGTCGACCTCTTCTACTTTCTCTGCTCCCGCGGGACGGGGAAACCGTGGGCGGACGTGCCGAGACGCGTCCATCTCGGGTACCGGCCGCTCGACGCGTACAGCCTCGACTTTTGCCGGGACCGCGCCGACCTGCTCGCGCACCTCGAGGTCGCGGCCGTCTACGGCCGCAACGCGTCGACGCTCGTCGTCTCCGGCGACAGCGTCGCGCCGGACGCGGTCGGGTTGGACGACGGCGGCGACTGGTACGCCGCGGCCCGGCGCGTCCGGGACGCGTTGCAAATCCACCGCTGGGAGGTGCTCCGCCTCTCGTCGACCTTCGTGCACGCGCTCTCGCCGAAGCCGTCGCATTTCGACGGCGTGACCGACGAAGACGCGCACCTCGAGGACCCGGCGCATTTTACGCGGAGGCGCGGCCGCGAGCACCGATTGGAAGTCCAGGAACTCACCTGCCGCCCCCGCGCGGCGCCGCGGCCCGTGGACCTGACGCGCTGCAAGTGCCCGGAGGCCTGCGCCTGCGCGCGCGCGGGCGACCGTGTGTGCGTCGCGGCCGCGTCGCCCGGGCGGCCCAAGCACGGCATCAAGACGGCGGCCTCCGCGACGCGCCGCTGCGACGTCCGCGACGTCGCCACGGCCTACGCCCTCGCGCCGGCGGCGGCGGCGGCCGCGACGCGCTTCTACCGCGAGCTCCAGCGGTTCCCCCACTGGGCCTACGGGCGGCACGTGCCGACGTTCGACGCCTACGTCGCCGCGCGGTTCGACGCGGCCTACGCGCTGCCGCCGCTCGCGGCCGCGGCGCGGCTCGCCAAATTCTACGTCGAGGACGGCTACGTGCGCGACGCGCCGCGGCGGCGCCTCGCCGTCACGGGGAAGGCCGACGCGCGGAAGAAGCGGCGCGAGCGCGCGGAGCGGAAGCGCCAGGCGACGTGGGCCGGCGACCCCGGCTCGCTCGGCGTCGACGTCGGGCCCGACGACACCGACGACCTCATCGGCCCGGGGGCGCGAGGCGCGGCGAGCCCCGCGGCGCCGCCGCGGGTCCCTCGGCCCGCGCCGGGGACCGCGGAGGCGATCGCCGCGGCCGCGGTCGCCGCGGGCGCGCGGCCGGCGCCGCGCCGCGTCGCCTGGGCCGACGTCTTCGCGCGCGCCTGCGTCCGCGACGCGTGACGAGAAAACCTTAGGGCGGGGCGTGGGGCCGCTTCACTCGCAGTCCGGGACGTAGACCGTGTTGCAGTTGGGGCGGGAGCCGATGTCCTTGAGCATGTCGAAGTACTGGGTGATGAGGAGGAGGTCGACGACGTCCTTGGGCGTCGTGCCCTTGATGTTGCCGCTGAACTGGGAGATGGAGCCGCGGAGGCCGTCGACGATGGCCTTGCGCTGGCGCGCGACGCCGACGCCGGAGAGGTACTTGGACTCGGCCTCGGCCTCGGCGGACTTGACCGTGAGCACCTTGTTGCCCTCGGCCTTCTCCTTGGCCGCGTCCTTGAGCCGCTTCGACGCGTTGATCTCGTTCATGGCCTGGGCAGGAAAAGGGTGCGAAATTCCCAACTTCAAAGGCTCCTATCTCGGTCGGTTTCCGCTCGTTTCGGCTGATTTTTGGACGAGCGATCATCTCTCGGAGCGCTCTCGAAGCGTGGGTGCTGTTTCCGAAACGCGCGCGCGCGGAACACTCACGTTGAAGCGACGTTGAATCACCCTTTTCCTGCCCTGTTCATCGCGTTGCGGACGCGCGCGTCGGGCGTCATGTCCGTCACGAGGGCGTTGGAGATCGTGTAGCCGTAGGACATCATGATATCCCCCAGGTACTTCTTGATGTTGAGCGAGATCGTCTCCTTGTCCTCGAAGGCCTGGTCGAGCGTCGCGAGGGGGATCGTACTCCGGACGACGTCGTAGACGTAGGCCGTGATCTGCTTCTTCGGGTCGCTGAGCTCGTAGAAGGCCTTGTAGACGCCGCTGCTGAGCTTGTCGTTGGGGTCGCTGAAGCCCTCGTTGACCTTGTACTGGATGCTGATGATGACGTCGACGAAGACGTTGTCGAGCGTCTTCGTCTCGCACCGCACCTCGAGCTGCGTCACGCGCGAGCTCAGCGTCCCCACGATCTGCTCCATGGGGCAGCAGACGAAGTTGACGCCCGCGTTCGCCACGCGGTCGAAGCGGCCCCAGCGCTCGACGATGCCGTTCTCGGACCTGCGCGGGGTGGTATTTCGCCGCGCGGCGGCGGGGGAAAAAGGCGGGGCGCCGGCGGGCGACTGGTTAATACACACGATGCAACTCATGGCCGAGTCGAGGGCGGCCCCGCGCCCGTTCGCGCGCGGCTAATGCACGACGAGCACGGCCAATGCTCCCGCTGCTCGTCCTGGTGTGCGGCGCGCCGATTTTGGCCGGGGGTCGCTCCCGCCGACCCCTCTAGCGCAGCGACGCCGTACTTAAAGGTCGCGAGGTTGGGCGCACCCGACGCCCCGGAGCATCGTCGATCGGGACACCTAAAGGCGCGTCCATCGCCATCGATGGTGGCGAGTTTCGCGGCGCCGGAGTCGTCGAAAATGGCCAGTTTGGGGCCAATCGTGCATTTCTCGATCTTGAATGATGGTCGAGCTCGCGCGCTCTCAGCGTGTCGTGCGGTGCTGGCACCAGTAAGCGCGGTCGCAACGCAGCGAAAGGACGCCAGTCCGCGAGCGGCCGCAACGCGCGCACGATGTTCCTCAAGCTCCTCGGCGCGCTCGCGTCGCTCATCTACAGCGTCGACGTGCTCTCCAACTTTGGAAAAAAGACGAACGCGCCCGCGCGGCTGCGCAACGCCTGGCGCGCCGCGCGCTGCGAGGGCCGCCACCCCTGCGCGGCGCTCCGGTCCGGCTACGACGCGCTCGTCGCGGAGCCCGACTGGATCCGCGACGGCGGGCTGCTCGCTCGCGTCGGCGCGCCCGCCGCGGGCGCGGCGTCGCTGGCCTGCGCCGCCGCGGCGCTCGCGAGCCGCCGCGAGGGCTACCTCGCGCTGCTCGCCGAGGAGTCCGGGCCCGACGTCGCCGACGCGGCCCTCGCGCGCCGCGCCGCGCGCGAGGTCGTGCGAGACGGTTCGGCGCCCGTCAGGGTGCGCGCGGCGGACCGCGCGACGTGGCGCGAGGCGCGCCGGAGCGCGCGGCGCGAGGGCCTGCCGGTCCTCGACGTCCACGCGCCGCTCTACGCGGGCCGCGGCCGCCGCGTGCTCCTCATCGGGCCCGCGCGCCGCGCGACGCTGCCGGGCGCCGTCGGCAAGCGCGTCGGCCACGCGAGACACGGCGCGCCGCGGTGAGTAAGGGCGGCGTAGCTCTCCGACAAAGGTGACTCGCACCATAAATCGCGTACGCCGAGTCCGGGTCGGACCGCGGCCCCGGCGGCGCGTCCAACAAGCTCTCGGCACTTTGGCGGTTCTCCGTGTGCTTCCCGACGATTTCTCCACGAGTAAGGTCGCGAGCTGCCGCTTGCGGTCCACACCTTAACTTCTTTTTTCCGCCAGAGCCGCGATCGCGAAGTCAAGTTGAAGGTCAACGAGCGTCACAGGCGATTGATCAGAGGCTGCGCCGCGCCGCCGCCGCAGCCTGCGCCTGCGCCCGCCGCCACCAGTTCCGCAGCGCCGCCAGCCGAACGCACGCAGCGACACCGCACCGCCGCACAAACGCGCCGCGCGCGCGGCGCGCCGCCGCCACGAGCACGCAACCATGCAGTTCTGCCCCTACGACGGCACGCTGCTCCAGGTGCACATCTTCGCCCAGGGCACGCCGGCGAGCGAGCTGCGCTTCTTCTGCCCGCTCTGCCCCTACATCCACTCGCCGAAGAAGAAGCACGCGCTCGACGTGCCGACGACGCGGAAGAAGATCGACGACATCATGGGCGGCGACGCCGCGTGGGAGAACGTGGACCGGACGGCCGTGACCTGCCCCGCCTGCTCCCACGGCGAGGCCTTCTTCATGCAGCTCCAGATCCGGAGCGCCGACGAGCCCATGACGACCTTCTTCAAGTGCGCGAAGACGGGCTGCGGCCACCGATGGAACGAGTAGCACGTCGAAAAATTAGAGCGTGTTGCTGCGGCTCGGGCCCCGGTGCGGGTAGTAGTCCCGGGCCGCCGCCTGGTTGTGCGCCGGGCGGAACGCGGCCGCGGCCGTCGTCAGCGGCGGCCGGTAGTCGAAGTTCGCCCGGGTCGAGGACCGCGTCGACCGGCTCTCGTCGTCGCTGGCGTCGTCGCCCGACGTCGCCGCGGACGAGAACCCGCGGGGCGACGCCGTGGACAGCGGCGACAGCGTGCCCTGCGACCGCGGCGGCGAGTCGGACACGAAGCCCTCGTCGTCGCCGTCCGAGCTCTCGCCGGACAGCAACCCCACGAGCTCGTGGTCGCCGGCGTCGCCGCGGTCGCGGTACGCGGCGTAGGCCGACTCCGCCGGGAGCTGGTAGGAGATGACCCAGGCCAGCGCGGAAACCGCGGCGCACGCGAGGTACGGCGTGCCCGGCAGCCGCGTCCGCTCGAACTTGGCCATCAACGCGGCGAAGCAGAGCGGCCCGACGCCCTCGGTCAGCGCCTTGACGCCGTTGATGGCGCCCAGGGCCTCGCCCTGGGCCTTCTCCGGCACGTTCCGGCTCACGAGCGACGAAACCGCGGGGTAGACGAGATTCGAGAGCAGCGAGAGCCCGATGGACGCGAAGATGAGGCCCGGCGTCGTCGCGACGGCGATGAGGGCGCACTGCATGGCGAAGGCCAGGAGCCCGATGCGCAGCGTGCCGAGCTCGCCGAGCCGCGGCACGAGCACGCGCACCAACAAACCCTCGGCGACCATCGTCGACAGGCCGTACGCGGACAGCAGCCAGCCCACCTCGATCTTCGAGAGCCCGAAGACGCGCACGACGTAGACGACGATGGTCGTCACCAAGGCCCAGACGCCGCTGTAGTAGAGCAGCACGATCAACGCGACGCGCCGCAGGAACGGGTCGCCCCGAAACACCGCGAGCGCGTCCAGCGGGTCGAAGGCCGGCGTCGGGTGCCGGCCCTGTTCGCCCTCCGGCGGCGGCGTCCGCCCCCGGCGCCGGTTGCGCCGCTTCCCGCGCTCCATGGCCCGCGACACCTCGCGGAAGAAGCGTAAGGTCGACGGGTCCTCGTGGCCCCGCCGCCGCAGCGCGCCCTCGTTGCTCTCCGGTAACGCTAGGCCGATGATCAGCACGTCCAGGATCGCCAGGGCCAGCGCCACGAGGAACACGCGCCGGTCGCCCACGCGCCGCGCGGCGAACGCGCCGAGCACGGGCCCGACGGTGAACGATAACCCCAAAGTCGCCAGCGCCGCCCCGTAGGCCGGCGCGCGCCGCGTCGCCTCGACGACGTCGGCGATGTAGGCGAAGACCAGCGTGAACGTCGACGCGAAGAGGCCGCTGAGGCCCAGCGCGCAGACGTACGCCCACAGATTGTCCGTGAACGCGAGGATCCAGCACGGCGCGGTCGTCCCGACGACCGTCACCAGCAGGCACGACGTGCGCCCGACGACGTCGCTCAGCCGCCCGAAGAGGGGGCACGCGACGAAGGCGAAGATGCCCTTGACCGTCTCCGCGACGCCTACGAAGCCGTCGTCTCGGGGGTTCGCCGCGGCGCGAAAGGACGCCGGCCGCGCGCCGATGACCATGTAGACCTCCTCGCCGAAGAAGTCGTTGAGCCGCGCCGGCAGCAGCGACTTGGTCACGGCGATGGCCAGGAACTCGACGAAGAGCACGGGCAGGATGAAGACGTAGGTCTCGGGCTTGGCGTCGACGGGACGCCGCTCGCGCGGCGCCTCCACTTGGCCGGCCGGTTCCGTCGTCGTGCACATCGTTTATTTATGCGCTGGCGGTGGTGGTGGTGGTGCTACCTACGCGGCCTTATGCGGCGGCTTGGCCGCGCGACGCTCAAAGCACGAGCGTCATCGATGAGCTCATCCCGTCGAGCCAATTTTTGCTTCACGATGAAGTTCAGTCCGCCGGGGGTCCGCGTGCGCGCGATGGGCTCCGACCGCACGAGCCGACCGAGTTCCGGGCATCGCTGAGCATCCGCGCGCACGCTTCCACCTCCTCGAGCTGGGGTGTACGCGCGACAGCCAGGGCGGCGAGCGAAATTACCCCGGCCAATGGCCCTAAAACGTGCAAAGCCTCCGCGTCGTGCGGCGACGACAGCCTTCAGGCGGCGTCGCAGTGCGCCCAGCCCGCGCAGACATGGTCGAGCTGCGCCAGCGGAAGGGTAGCGCCAAGAAGGCGGCCGACGGCGAGCAGCTGTCGGAGAACGGCATGCTCGAGGAGGTGCGGCGGTCCACGGAGGGCGAGGACAAGCCGGCGCCGGCGCCGGCGACGGAGCCGCCGGCGGTGATGCAGCAGGGCTTCTGGAAGAAGTTCGCCGTGCGGGCGCAGATGGCGAGCCTCATGATGGCCGCGTTCCTGTCCATCGCGCGCGCCCCGCGTCCCGGAAATCAAAACCGCGGCGCGAAGCCGAGGCGCGGCCGCTCCCGTCCGCAGGTCTGGGCCGGCCACTTCTACGTGTGCCTGCTCATCATGCTCCTGCAGACCATGGCCTTCCGGGAGATCGTGTCCGTGCGCTACAGCGAGTACAAGTCCGTCGACGGCGCGGGCCGGCTGCCGCTCTTCCGGACGCTGCAGTGGGGCTGGTACTACGTCGCGCTCGTTTTCGTCTACGGCGACTTCATCAAGGAGTTCGCCTACAGCCACGAGCGGGGGCAGGACGTGCTGCTGCACTACGCGCGGCACCACGAGGCGCTGGCCTTCGCGGGCTACTGCCTCGTGTTCATGCTCAGCGTGTGGACGCTGACCGCGGACAACGTCAAGTACCAGGTGGGCCAGCTGTCGTGGACCATCGTCACGCTGTGCATCGTCGTGGGCCAGATGAAGTTCGTCGCCCACAACATCTTCGACGGGCTGTTCTGGTTCTTCTTCCCCGCGTGGCTCGTCATCAACAACGACTGCTGGGCGTACGCGTGGGGCGCGACGCTCGGCCGGCGGCTGGTGAAGGCGCCCTTCTTCAAGCTGAGCCCGAAGAAGACCTGGGAGGGCTTTCTCGGAGCGCTCTTCTCGACGGTGGCCGTCGCGTACTACACGGCGCCGCTCTTCGCGCGGTCGCAGTGGCTCGTCTGCCCCGCGGCGGAGATCACGCTCGTGGCCCACAAGACGCTGTCCTGCGAGACGCGGGCCGTCTTCGTCAAGCAGGCTGAGTATGATGTATTGGGGCTCTTCACGCTCGAGGGCGTGGCGCCCATCCAGCTCCACGCCGTCTGCTTCGCGCTCTTCGCGTCCATCGTCGCGCCCTTCGGGGGGTTCCTCGCGTCCGCCATCAAGCGGGCCTACCACGTCAAGGACTTCGACTCCATCATCCCGGGCCACGGCGGCGTCACGGACCGCGTCGACTGCGAGTTCATCATGGCGCTCTTTGTCTACGTGTACCACAAGACGTTCATCCGCGAGTACGACGTCGACTGGCGCACGCTCCTGTCGTCCGCCCGCCTCCTCTCGCCCGCGGACCGCGGCGCGCTCATCGGCGCCCTCAAGGCGGGCCTCTAGCCCCGACTAACGGCGCGAGTGTTTCGCTTACCGCGACCAGGCCGCGGCGCGCGACGACCGCGGCGTCAGGAGCGGGCGCACGGGGTCCGCGCCGACCTCCGCCGGCGGCGCCGCGACGCGCTTCGGCGCCGCGAGGTAGGCGAGCCGCGGCGGCGACGCGACCGCGCGCGCCGCGGCGCCGCCGGCGCGGGCCGGGCGGACCGCGGCGACCGCGCGTAGCGCCGACGGAGGAACGTCGGCGCGTCGCCCGTTGTCGGCGCCGCGGCGGTCGCCGCGGTCAGCGCCGCGTTGTTCGCCGCGGTCCGCGCCGCGGCGTTCCGCGGCGACGCGGGCCGCGGCAGCCGCGCCGCGGCGTTCCGCGGCGACGCGGGCCGCGGCAGCCGCGCCGCGGCGTTCCGCGGCGACGCGGGCCGCGGCAGCCGCGCCGCGGAGCGGGTGTTGAGCGGCAGGACCGCGGCGGGGTGCTGAACGCGGGCCGAGACGTAGTTCGCGTAGGTCTCGTGCGCGCGGAATGCCCAGCGCACCATTGCCGTCGGCCTTCGACTCGCTCGTGCCGCTGCTGCCGACGGACCTGACGAGCCCGAGCCCGTCGCGCGTGCTTTGCAAAAGCGCCGCGACGCGCAGGCTTCCCGCCATTCCCGAAAGAAAGCGCGCCAACCTAGTTAGGGGCAGCGTCAGCGTTGAAGTGACGTATACTTTAGCGCCCCGCACGTCGCGCGCGACGTCGACCCGCGGGTCAGTCCTAATTGGTCGGTTCGTCCGTTTTATCGCCTGAGTGTGGTCCAGTAAAGTACTAAAGTTCCAAAACAGCCACATCGCCTCCCGCTTCGAACATAAAAATGGCAGCCCTCCAGCGCACCGAGTCCGAGGTCGAGGCCGAGTTCGAGGTCGTCGACAGCACGGTCATGGACGAGCCGCTCCTCGCGGCGATCCAGGGCGACGACCTCGCCACCGTCGAGTCCGCGCCCCTGGACTGCCTCCTGAAGCCGACCACGGCCAAAACCTACGCGCTCCACGAAGCCTGCGAACACGGCTCGATGCGAGTGGTGAAGTTCCTCGTCGAGCACGGCTGCGACGTGAACGCGCGCGACGCCCAGCAGTGGACACCGCTCCACTACGCGGCCGCGTTCGACGAGGGCCCCGCCGACGACCTCGTCAACTTCCTCCTGAGCCACGGCGCCGACGCGACCCTCGAGGACGAGGACGGCGACACGCCCCTGGACTGCTGCGACGACGCCTGCGACGCCCAGGCGCTGCTCCTCGCGTCCGCGTCGGACTTCGGCGACTACGAGACCTGGGCGCGCGCCGTCGCGCGCGACGCGACCTTCGGCGCCTACGTGCAGCAGGCGCGGCCGAAATACGTGCGCGACGCGCTGCGCCACGAGCTCTGCCTCCTGGCCCGCCAGGCCGCGCCCCAGCCGGCGGCGTCGCCCGAGGCGTTCCTCCTCGGGTCCCACGGGGGCCACGCGGTCTTCGCGCACCTCCTCCCCTACCTCGCGTAACGGCAACATCACATGAGTCCGCACGCCGTCGACCGGCGCTTCGGCGGCCGCTTCGGGAGCGGCCAGGCGCCGAGCAGGTAGGCGCGGTACTCGTCGCCGTTCATGAAGTTGGGGATGATGTCCTTCGTGAGCATCTGGTTGATCTCCTCGGCGCACTTGTCGAAGACCGTGCGCAGCGCGGCGACGTCGTCGGCCTCCCGCGCCGCGGCGAAGTTCTTCTTCGACTCGCGGACGACCTTCTGGGACACGTTGACGGCGAGGTTGTCCGCGTCCGACGCGTCGACGTCGACGTGGTCGCGGAAGAGCCTCTCGACGCGCGCGACGGCCGCGGCGGCGTCGGTCTCGGTCTGCAGGTCGCGGTACCCCCGCAGGAAGACGACGTTCTCCGCGCAGAACGTGCGCTTCGCGAAGGCCTCGAAGGCCGCGAAGAACGCGGCGTTGTCGATGTTGCCGAAGAAGAGGCCGTCGTTGTAGGTGTGGGCGCGCCTACCACACGCGTCGGTAACGATTTTTCATCCGTTTTTGCGGTCAAAATCTCTCGAAAATCGTCACGGATGCAGGACGCTGGGGCGCGCTCGAAGGCGCGGATCTCGATCTGGCGCTTCACGAGGCGGATCGCGAGCGAGTCCGTCCGTAATAGCTCGTCGCACGACTCGAGGTCCAGCGAGAACCCCGCGAGGTCCTGGGCGGCTTTGATCGTCGCCGTGGGCACGCTGCGGGCGATGACCTGGCCCTCGCCGACGTAGAAGGGCGCGACGAGCCGCGCGACGCGCTTCTGCTTCTTGGCGCCGGACTTCGTCGTCGTCGTGACAAAGACCTCCGCCGCGCCGGACTCGCAAATCAATAGCTGGGGCTGCGCCGCGTCCTCGCCCTCGCGGATGACCTCGGCGCCCTTGGGCGTCGTCCAGTCCGCCAGCGACGCCGCGAAGGCCTTGCAGTTCATGCAGTCCTCCTCCCAGCCCTCGAAGACTTTCGACAGGACGTCCATGCGCTTCTGGATCTGCGGCGTCAGCGCCACCGTCGCCCGCGCCATCGCACTCGGCGCGGCCCGCGGACCGCGCCACCGGCGGTCGTCTTGCGCCCGCCCAAGGGCCCGCGGCCGCGTCGACGTGCGGCAGGCAGCGCTCCGCGGCAGCCCGCTTGGGCGCCGAAACTGTTCATGAACGATCAAAGAATTGCCGCTTATTCAAGGAGTACTTCAACGAGCTGCGAAGCAAAGGGGCTCCAAAGTGGCCCGGCGACGCCGCGGTCAGAGCGCCTTCCAGGCCGCCTGCGGCGCGGGCGACCCCGGCCGCGGCGTGCGGGGCTCGGGCGCGGGCGGCGGCGCGTCCGCGCCGTCGCCGGGCGCCGCCGCGTCCGCCGCGTCCGCGGCGGTGTCGTCGTCGGGCGGCGGGTCCTGGCGGAAGGAGTCCTGGAGGACGACGTCGAGGTCCTCGAGGGAGTCGCGGCTCTTCGTCTTCTCGCTGTTGACCTCGTCGAGGCGCGCGAGGTCCGTGGGCTGCGACGCGCGCGGCCGCACGCCCAGGATGGGCGGAAACGCGTCGCGGAGCGCGCGGACGGGCAGGGGCGCCGCCGGCGGCGCCGCGCGCTGGAGGTCCAGGCCCAGGGACAGCGGCGCGTCGCCGCTGAGCGACTTGTCGAGGTCGAGGCCCGGGCCCGGCGACGACGCGCGGCTCGACGGCGCGGAGGGCGCGGCCGTCGGCACGGCCAAAGCCGTCGCCGCGGCGAAGTGGGCGTGGTCGCCCCAGGGCGTGCCGCCGCGGCTCAGGTCCATGTCCAGCGCCGCGTACGCGGACACGTCCAAGCTCGCGGACACGGACCGGTTCTCGCGGACGCCGAGCGCGGCCGCGACGCCCGCGGCCAGGTCGCGCCAGGACCGCCGCGAGTCGTCCAGACCCTTCTCGTCGCTCGCCGTCCGCGACCGGGCCGGGCGGTTCAGCCAGCCGCCCGACCCGCGCTGCGACGCGTCGAGCGCGCGGTTCAGCCAGCCGCCCGAGCCCCGCTGGGACGCGTCCAGGCTCGCGAGGAACTGGTCCGTCGTCGCGACGCGCTCCAGGTCGTCCCTGGGCCGGCCGCCGTCGACGGGCGCCGCGGGCGACGCCGGCGCGGGCGTCGTCGCGACCCGCGTGCCCGCCTGGCTGCGCCAGATGTCGAAGCTGAGGAGGCAGAGCCAGCCGCTCGCGCGGCTCGTCTTCGCGGCGAGCGCGTGGAACGCGGCGTAGAACGCGACGAGCCGCTCCAGCGACGCGACGCGGCCCTCGTAGAGCGTCTCCACGACGGCGTGCGCCGCCAGCAGCGCCCGCGGGTCCTCGTCGCCCGCCGCGCGCGCCGCGCCGACGACGCCGGGGCCGACGGCGCCGAACCGCGCCTCCGGCGCCTCCAGGAAGGAGAGGCGCCGCGCGTCCGGCGCCCGCGGCGACGCGTGGTGCACCTCCGACAGGAACACCGGCCGCTGGAAGGCGTCGAAGATGAGCGCGGCGTCGACGACGCCGGGCACGTAGGAGTGGTGGCCGACGGTCGCGAGCTCCGCGCCGACGCCCCAGTTCGACAGCGACTTGAGCTGCAACGCCGTCAGGTAGGCCGCGCACTCCACGTCCACGAGCGCCTTCAGACGCCCGTCGGGCACGCCGAGCGCGACGAGCGTGCCGCGGACGACGCGGTGGAGCATGCGGTGCACGCCGTGGTCCGCCGGGTTCGCGCCTGCGTGCGAATCAAAGCTGCTTCGAGAACTCGACGAGAGCGATCGACCCGTCCAAAAATCGGCCGAATCGATGCGACCGAGAATTTGGAAGTTCGCTCGCGACGACCCGCCGTTCGATGTCCGCGCGGGTTCGCGCCGGCGAAGTCGACGCCGTTGAGGCCGTAGCTCAGCCCGAAGAGCTTCTGGCCGAAGGCGACGGCGCACTGGTGCACCATGGGCACGTCGAGGACCATGATGGTCCGCCGGCCGAAGCGCGCCAGCATCGTCCGCTTCTGGACGAAGCGCAAGACCAGCGCCGCGACGACGGGAAAGAAGGCGTAGAGCAGCGCGTCGAGGGCCGCGACGGCCGGGGAGCGGTAGCCGCAACTGTAGAAAACGGCCGTGGTCACGAGGGGCGTCCCCGCGGTGACGGACACCAAAACGTAGGCCGTCGCCAGCACGAAGCACGCGAGCGGCTCGAGCACGTGGTCCGCCCAGCGCTCGCCCAGCGCCCGGGCCCCGGCGTGGGCGTCGCGCGACGGCCGCGGCGCCGGGCCCGGGCACAGGTTCGGCAGGTGGTCGTGGACGCACGCGTCCGCGAGCGTCTCGAGGTCCTTGACGTCGCCCGCCCGCAGCAGGCACGAGCCGCGCGGCGCCTTGGCCGCGAGCGCGAGGAGCAGCTCCGTCAAGAGCACGTGCGTCAACGCCGTCGTCAGCGACGCGGCCTCGGCGAGGCGCACGCCCGCGCCCGTCACGAGCACGCGCTTCGACCGCCGCGCGCCCTTCCGGAACGACTGGCCGCCCTTGACGACCTCCGCGAGCTGCACGTCCAGGGACCCCGCCACGACGAACACGTCGGCCCCGGCGTCCCTCAAGGCCCGCGCCGCGTTGAGCGTCGGGAAGGTCTGGCCGCTGTGGGACACGGCGAGCGCGACGGCGCCGCGGCACCGTCTCGCGGGCGTGTCGCCCGAGGGGAAGACCGTCGCGTGGGCCGACGTCGCGCCGCCGTGCGTGCCGCTCTCGCAGGCCGTCAGCGCCGCCAGCGCCTTGTTCGCGGAAGCGACGACGACGCGGAGCACGGGGCACGCCGCGCGCGCGTTGGCCGCCCACTGCTCCGCGACCCACAGGGACGCCTCGACGGCGACGACGACGACGTCCAGCGAGCTCCGGCGCATGCGGTCCGCGTCGAAGACGGCCTTGGCGAAGGCGCGCGCGGCCGCCGCGTTCGGCGACGTGTCCAGGCGGAAGCTCCGCGCGAGCGCGGACGCGAGGACCGGCAGGTCCCGGAGATCGTCGCCGACGACGTCGCCCGGCGGCCCGCCCGGCAGCGGCCGCATCATGAGCGCGTTGCGCTCCGCGTCGCAGAGGTCCGTCGACCCGAGGTCGCGGAAGACGGCGGCGTCGGCGTCGACGCGCGCGAGCGCGAGGCGGCAGCCCGAGCCGCCGAGCGTGCCCTGCACCGTCGCCTCGGGCGCGACGGACACGACGTCGCCCTCGGCCAGGACGTAGCGGTACTTGAGCGCCGCGCCGATGGCGCCGACGTGGACCGCCGCGCGCTCCGACGCGTAGGCGACGAAGCCCCGGCCGACGCCGACGATCAGCGGCTGCTTCACGGACCCCAAAACGACGGCCCCCGGCGCCAACGACGTCGTCGCGCAGAGCCCGAAGGCGCCGTGGGCCGTCTTCAGGAAGCGCCAGACGGCGGACCGCAGGTCCCACTCGCTGTAGCCGCGGAGCGCCGCCTCGGCGACGGCCGCGCGCTCGCGCGCGTCGAGCGAAGTCGTGGACAGCAATTTCTGGAGCCGCGCCTCGACGGCGTCGCGCGCCTTCGCGTCGGACGACGCGAAGGCGCGGGCCGGGTCCCGGAGCTCGTCGAGGACGCGGCGCAGCGCCGCCGCGACGGCGGACCGCAGCGCGACGTCGCCCGCGCGCGCGTCGTCGAGGGGCGCGAGCGCCAGCCGCGCCGCCGCCGCGCAGTCGCCCGCCGCGAACAGCAATTCCAGCGCGCCGCTCGCGACGCAGGAGTCGCCCGTCGACGGGGGCGCGCGACCGAGGCGCACGGCGAGCCAGGCGCGCAACGCGTCCAGCGCCATGACCGGCAGGTCGCAGCCGAAGCAGCGGCCGACGTCCAACCCCTCGAAGTCGCCGTTGTGCGTGATAACCACCAAACGCCGCGTGGGCTTCGGCGGCGGCGCGCCGGGCGCGGCCGGCGGCAACGCCGCCACGGGGCCGAGCCAGGAGTGGGGGTGCGCCTCGACGGCCGTCGACCTCGAGGACGTCGCGAAGCGGAGGTGCGCGGCCAAAAGCAGCGGCCGCGTACCGAGCGCGCGCGCGCCGACGCGGCGCCGCACGGCGCGCCGCAGCGCGGTGGCGATGTCGTCGCGCTTCGTGAGCACGGCCTTGTGCATCGTCATGGACTTGCCGCCCGCGGCGGCGACGAAACCATAGCTCTGGGCGCCGCGCATGGCCACGACGCGCGCCATCTCCTCGAGCAGCGCCTCCGGCGCCGCGTCGCCGTCGTGGCCCACGAGCAGGAGGCCCAGGTTGCCGCACATCGTGGTGGGTGTATTTCGTGCCTCGACTTGCAGATCTTGCACGTGTCCGAGCGCAAAGGGCGAGGATTCTGGTGGCCTTCTCACTCCGATGGATGCGCGATTCATGGGGCACTGTTGTGGCAAATCTCTTCTGAGCCAAACATGCTTGGACGAAAAAACCTTGCACCTGAAACCCCCCCGGACACGTGTGCAGCCGCCCCAGGCGCGGGTTCGGCGGCCACCAGCGAGGTTGGGTACTCTCGCGCTCGCGAGACGTGCGGCCATGCTGCCGCGCGCGCGCGAGACGCGGCGCGGGCCGCCGCGCGCGGGATCTACCCTGCTGCTCAGATCTCCCACGGGCACTTCACGGCTCACGCGGCGGCATGCGTCGCCAGGAAAAGGTCGGAGGCGCCGCTGTTGTGGGGAGTCGTGGCTGCCAGCGCTACTCGATGCGAACTTGCAGTCGACGTTGAACACACCTTGCAGCCGAGCACGATGAGCCCTCGCAACAATCGCGCGCGGCGATGAGCGCCATGCTCGCGCGAACGCTGCTCCTGCTCCTCGCGGCCGCCGCGCGCTCGAAGAGCTCGAAGAAGCACCGCGACAAGCCGACGAAGAAGCTGAACGTGCTCTGGCTCCTCGTCGACGACTTCCGCCCCCAGACCAACTTCTACGGCCAGGGCGACACGTCTACGCCGCGCCTCGACGCCTTCGCGGCGACGGCCAGAGTCTTCGACCGCGCCTACTGCCAGCTGAGCGTCTGCGCGCCGTCGCGCAACTCCTTCTTCACGGGCCGGCGGCCCGACAGCCTCCGGGTGTATAATTTTGTGGACCACTTCCGGAGCACGAGCCCCGAGGCCGTGCCGCTGCCCGAGTACTTCAAAAACCACGGCTACGTGACCTTGGGCGCGGGCAAGACCTACCAGCCGGGCAAGCCGCCGGCCTACGACGTCGGCCGGTCCTGGAGCGCCGAGCTGCCGTACCTGCCGCTGATGAAGAATCTGACGAGATGCAGCCGGAAGAACGCGAAGAGCGGCCGCTTCCTCGACGTCTGCCCCGAGGACTTTGGCGAGGAGGCCTTCATGGACCGCCTCACGGCGGACTACGCCGTCGAGGCCATGCGCGTCGCGCGAAAAGTGGAAAAGCCGTTCTTCGTCGTCGCGGGCTTCTACCGGCCGCACCTGCGCTGGCACGTGCCCCGGGCCTTCTACGACCGGTATAGTGGCACCCTGGGCACGCCCCTGCGGAGCCGGTCGAAGCCCTCGAACATGCCCGACATCGCCTGGGCCAACGAGGGCTGCCACACGATGACGACCGAAGAACACGGGACCGTCGCGGTGTCCATGGACCGGCCGCTGAAGCGGTCCATGGTCGCCGAATTACGCAAGGGCTACCTCGCCTGCGCGTCCTGGATCGACGAGCTCGCGGGCCGCGTGCTCGACGCGGCCGACGCGGTCCCGTCGGCAAAGGCGGACACGGTCGTGCTCCTGAGCAGCGACCACGGCTTCCACCTCGGCGAGCAGGCGTCCTGGACGAAGCACACGCTCTTCGAGATCGGGAGCCGCGTGCCCCTGGTCGTGCGCGCGCCGGGCGTGGCGCCCGGGCGGTCCCGCGCGCTCGTCGAGCTCACGGACGTCTACCGGACCTTCGCGGATCTGGCGGGCCTCCCGGCGCCGGCGCGGGACGTCCAGGGCAAGAGCCTGGGGCCCCTGCTGCGGTCCGGCGCGCCGCACCGCAACTTCTCCGTGACGCAGTACCCGCGGTGCCCGCGCGACTACCGGAAGCAGTGGGACGCGAACTGCAAGCGGCTCACGGCGGCGGAGATTCCCGTCATGGGCTACACGCTGCGCGTGGACCATTTCCGGTTCACGGAGTGGTACTACTGGGTCGCGGCGCCGGCGACGCGCGCGAACGAGCGCTTCGACCCGCCCGAGAAGGTCGTCGACAAAAAACGCAAACCGCTCGCGACGGAGCTCTACGCCCTCGACGACGCGCGGATCAACGACTTCGACGGCCTCGAGCTCGCCAACGTCGCCGGCGACCCGCGCGCGGCCTGCGCGGTCGCCGCGCTCCGGGCCGCGCTCGCGATCTTCCTCGAGTGCCAGCACGACGAAGCGGGCTGCGACGACCGCGTCGGCGCGGCGGCGTACCGCGGCTCGACATGCGTCGACGCGACCACGCGCGCCGACCTGCGGCGGCGGCCCGGCGACGGCGCCGCGCTTTAATGAGCGCTATTGTTGAAGCGTTAAATGAAGTTTTGAAGGAAGCGCGCTCTCTCTGCGAGCCGTGGGCAGCGTCGTCGCAGCGAATCCATGGCGTCCTACGCGCTGACGGCGACGCGCCGCGACGAGGACGCGGAGCTCTGGGAGCTGCGCGTTTCCCCGCGCCGGAAAAACGCGCCGCGTCGCGCGCGCGGGAGGACGCGAGGGACCGACGCGTGCGCATCTAGGCGAGACGAGTGCCGCGAGAAGCCCAAGAACCTGCCGCTGCGGCTGTCGCTCGGCGACCTGCTCATGGAGCGCGGCGACCCGCGCGGCGCCCTCGACGTCTACCGCGCGGCCGTGCGCATGAAGCCGTCCTACTCGAAGGCGAACCGGAAAGTCGCGGAAGCCGAGGCCGCGTGCGCGGAGCTCGCGCCGGAGGAGGAGCCCACGGACGACGGCGGCGGCGACGCCGCCGACGCCGACCCGGCGGCGCGGGCGAGCGCCGAGGCGGCGCGCCTCAAGGCCAAGGGCAACGCCTGCTTCAACAACGGCTGCTACGTCGACGCGTGGGAAAACTACAGCGACGCGATCGACTGCCTCGCCGCCGCGGGCGTGGCCGGCCGCGCCGAGGACGCCAAGCTCCACACGAACCGCGCGGCCTGCCTCCTCACGGCGGACCGCTGGGTGCCCGCGGCCCACGACGGCGCGCGCGCGATCGCGCTGGACGCAGAGTGGTGGAAGGGCTACTGGTACCGGGGCCAGGCCCTGCTGGGCCAGCTCAAGGGCAAGCGGCCCTCCAAGGTCATGCAGCAGAAGGCCGAGGTCGCGCTGAAGGCCCTCGAACGCGCGTCGCAGTGCCGCGGCTTCCCGGAGGACAAGCGGGAGCGCGTCGAGCAGCTCCAGGCCCGCGCGCGGAACATCGTCTTCTACCTCGCCCAGAACCAGTGCCCGACGCAGTAGGCGCGGGCGGGCGGCCTTAAAAGCTCACGAGTGCGGACGTGCGGACGAATTGCGGACGTCGGCGTCTACGGCAACATTAGCTCGATGCGGGTGATTTTTGAGGTAAAAACGAGCTCTGGCCGCCACACTCGCCGTGTGGCCACTTGTCACGTCCGTCGCATCGCACGCAGCGATGGAGCCGCCGTCGACGCCGCCGCTCAACGGCGCGGCGGAGCCGCCGGCGTCGCCCGCCGTCGGGGACGGCGGGGCGGCCCTCGCGCTCGCCGGCGAGCCGCCGCTCGGCGACGCCGCCGACATCGACTCGCTCATCGCGTCGCGGCGCGCCCAGCTCGAGTCGCTCCGCGCGCGGAACCGGGCCATGATGGAGTCGCTCGTGTCGTCGGCGCCGCGCTTCGCCGAGGACAGCGAGCTGCGGAGCTCCCTCGACGAGCTGCGGTCCGCGACGGCTCCTTCGCCGTCGAAGCACGACGGTAACGGCGCCGCGTCCGACGAGCTCGCGCGCGCGCGGGACCGCATCCGCGCGCTCGAGGCCGACCTCGCGCGCGCGCGCGGCGGCGGCGGCGCCGCGGCGCCGGCGCTCCTGGAGCGGCAGTACCTGCACGCGTTCATGCGCCAGGGCGACGCGACGGCGAAAGAGCTGGCGCTGCTCCGGGCCGAGTGCCGCCGCGCGGACTCGACCTTCTTCAAGTTCAAGGTCGTCTTCGTGCTCTGGACCGTCGTGCTGGCGCTCGTCGCGTCCGGCGCGGGGCTCTCGACGTTCCTGCCCCCGCGGCCGGCGCCGCCGGCCGCGGCGGCGGACGCGGCCGCCGCGCCGGCGGAGGCCGAGGCCGCCGTCGCGCCGGCGGAGGCCGAGGCCGCCGTCGCGCCGGAGGCGCCCGCGGAGGCGCCCGCGGAGGCGCCCGCGGAGCCCGAGGCGCCCGCGGAGCCCGAGAATCCCGTAAAGGGGCGGCGCTTCAACCGGCGCACGCGGGAGACGCAGCCCCCCAGCGCCGCCGCGAGCCGCCGCGGCAACCCCAACGCCCAGGCGGACTACAACCGGGTCCAGGCCGAGGCCGCCGCGGCGCGCGAGAAGGCCCAAGCCGAGCAACGCGAGGCCGCCGAGGCTGCGGCGCGCGAGGCGGCGGAGCGCGAGGCGGCGGCCGCGCGCGAGGCCGAGGCGGCGCGCGAGGCCGAGGCGGCCGCGGCGCGGGAAGAGGCGGCGGCGGCCGCGGCGCGCGAGGAGGCCGCGGCGCGCGAGGAGGCCGAGCGCCGGCAAGCCGCGGAGCGCGCGGAGCTCGAGGCCGAGGTCGAGGCCGCGCGGCTGCGGACCGAGGCCGCGGAGCGCGCGGAGGCGGAGGCGGCCGCGGCGCGCGAGGCGGAGGCGGCCGCGGCGCGCGAGGCGGAGGAGCACGCGGCGCGCGAGGTCGCGGCGGCGCGCGAGGCGGAGGAGCACGCGGCGCGCGAGGCCGCCGAGGCCGCGGCGGCGCGCGAGCTCGAGGCCGCGCGCGAGGCCCTGGACGACGCGGCGCAGCACGCGTCGGCGGAGGCCGCGGCGCGCGCCGAGGTCGACGGCGTCCACGAGAAGCAGCGCGAGGCCGAGGAGCGGCGCGCGAACGCGCTGGAGAAGGTCGCGGAGCTCGAGCGGCTCGAGGCGGAGGCGCTCGCGCGCGTCGACGCGGAGCACGCGGCGCGCGAGGAGGCCGAGGCCCTCGCCGCGGCCCAGGCGCGGGCCGCCGCCGAGGATCTGGCCGAGGCCGAGCGCCACGGCGCCAACTATCGCGAGGCGCTGTCCGCGCGGTCGGCGCGCCGCGGCTTCCGCCCGGGCGAGGAGCCGCCGCCGCCGCCGCCGGGCGCCGAGGCGCCCGCGGAGGACGACGACGACGACGCCGACGACGACGACGACGACGATGCCGACGACGACGAGGCGAAGGCGCAGGTCGACGACGACGACGACGAGCGACCGCCGCCCGTCTCGCAGCCCGCGGAGGAGGTCGCGGCGCCGCAGGAGGAGCCCGTCGCCGCGGAGGAGCCACCCTCGGAGGAGCCCGCCGCCGAGGAGCCGGCTGCTGAGCCGGCCGCGGACGAGGCGCCCTCAGAGGAGGCGCCCTCAGAGGAGCCGCCCGTGGAGGAACCCGCTGCTGAGGAGTCTTCTCCGGAGGAGCCCGCCGCGGAGGAACCGGCCGCGGAGGCGCCGCCCGCGGAGGAGCCGGCCGCGGAGGAGCCCGCCGCTGAAGAGCCCTCTCCGGAGGAGCCCGCCGCCGAGGAGCCCGCCGCCGAGGAGCCGGCGGCCGAGGAGCCGGCGGCCGAGGAGCCGGCCGCCGAGGAGCCCGCCGCCGAGGAGCCGGTCGCCGAGGAGCCGGCCGCGGAGCAACTGGCCGCCGAGGAGGCGGCCGCGGAGGAGCCCGTCGCCGAGCCGGAACAGCCGGCCGAATCGGACGCGGAGAGAGAGGCGCGGGAAGCGGCTCTGCTGGAGAAGGCGCGCATGGAGAAAGAGCGCGCCGCGGCAGAGCGCGCCGCCGCGGCGCGAAAGAGCCGCAACACGAGGAGGCACAACCGCTTCGCGGGCCGGAACCGCGGCGAGTTCTAGGGAGTGCTAATTCTAGATAACCTCTCACTTCCGGGAAGACTCCTCTTCGTTCACTTTGTTGAAGGGTAGCAGTTGAGCGCATGCTCCGCGCCGACGAGCGAGGACGCGGTCCATGCCGCGAAGGTGAGCGGCTTCCGCGCCATGTTGCCCTCCGGCCAGCGGATGGAGTTCAAGGCGCGCGACGGGTGGATTGCGGCCGTCTGGTTTCCCGTAAGCGTGGCCTGCTCCAAGACACCGAGCTGCGTCGTGGCCGGATACACCTTGGCGCCGTCTTTCGTGTTGCCCATCGCGCCGTAGTTGTCAACGACGTCCGACGCGAGAACGTTCGGAGTAATGTGATAGGCGAACCTCTGTATCACGGAGGCGCCGGCGCCCATGTTGCGTCTGCGCCCCGGGAACGTGTCGTCCAGCCATCCGCCCGTCTCGCGCGAGATCGCCTCCGCGACCAGGAGCCGCTCGAGATTCTCCGCCTTGGACCACTTTGAAAAGTCGCGACTCGTCGTCGTCTCGTAGTCACCCCAATCAGATTTCACGAGCTCGATGCGAAACCAGTCTCGATCGAGGGCGTTCCGATCCAGGCCCGGGACGCAGATGGCGAAGCCTCGCTCCGCGTACTTGAGGAGCCGCATCTCGTAGCACTCGCCGCGAATGTCCAGGTTCACCGTGTTGACGCGCGTCCGCAGGGCCTCGACGCAGCGCTCCGTGAGCGTGACGTCCAATCCGTCGTAGCCGAGGCAGCAGCAGTCGATGTCGAAGCCGTTGAGGACCTCGTCGGCCGTCGAGTAGAGCCGCGTGATGAACTGGATCTTGCGGCGCGGGCGGCCGCTCTCGACGGTCACCGTGTTCGGCGTCTTGATAAAAACGACGTCGTGCTCGACGCCCGCCTTCATCTTGACCGTGCGGCGGAGCTTCTTCAGCAGATGGACGAGTTTCGCGTGCGCGTCCTCGCGGTCGAGCCCGTGGAAGAAGATGTCGACGTCCGCGCTCGGCCAGCGCCGCTCCTGGATGTACTTCTTCCACAGATACGGTCCATCGCCCCGATCCTCCCTAAGTTCCTGCTCGAGCGAAGCGTCATTGGGATCGCGCCGTAATCGGTTTTCGTCGCGGAAGTCAAAGTCAAAGCCGCCGCCGCTGCTCCCGGATTTTTTGCCCCGGAGCACCCGATAATCGTGGGGAAGCGGCAGCGCGCACAGGAGCACGGCGCCGCCCGCGACGACGACGTTCGCCCAGTCCTCGCGCGACCAGTCCGCGAAGAGCCCGCACGTCAGCGTCTCGAAATACTCCGCGAAGAAGCACGCGGGCACGACGGACGGCGCGCCCGCGCGCCAGTGCCGGAACTCGTTCTCCGCGACCTCGCGCAGGACGACGTTGCGCCGCTGGAAGAGCTTGCGCTGCTCCTTGGCGCTCGGCACGACGAGCCGCGCAGACATCGCCGCGTCGTGGAGCCGCAGCACCTTCTCCTTGGGGTAGGCCTCGTCCACGGCGAACGTCGCCGGTGGCTTCTTCGGCTTCGACGCGGCCGGCGGCGGCTGCGTCTTCGCCTTCGGCGCTTTCGCGTCCTTCTTGGCCTTCGCTTGCGCCGCGAGCTGCACCAACTTCTGCAACGACTCGTGCTCCACGGGCGCGCCGAGGCGCTCGCCCACGACGGCGCCGCGCTCGACGAGCTCGAAGCGCTTGAAATTGATGAACAGGAGGCCCGGCATCTTTTCCGGGGGGACGCCATACCCGATGAGCTTGACGATGGCGTTCGGATCGACGGTTTTCTTCATATCATCAGCGAGCGATGGAGATGGCACCGAGGCGTAGCCAAAGAACGTCCCGTCGCTGACACTGTAGACGTTTACTCCATTGTGCACTCCATTGAACTTCTCACCCTCGTAAGCCAGCACCTGCAGTACCAGCTCACCGTCGTAAAAGCTGCCGGGCGTCTCGAGGAGGGACGCGATGCCTCCGACCGTAAGCTTCCCCAGCCACCCGGCGGCGCTCGTCGGCGGCGCGTTCGCCTCCTCGCTCGCCGCGGACGCCGCAGCCGTCGTCAGCCGCGCGACCTCCGCTTCGAGGCCGGCGACGCGTAATCCGAGGAACTCCTCGACGCCGTTCGCCTCCCGCGGCGCCTCGCAGAGCGCGGCGGCGGATCGATGGTAGGCGATCTTTTTCAAGCAGGTGTCGCTCTCGAAGCACTCGGGCCCGCAATAGCGGACGCCAAAGCAGCGGTCACATTTAAACGGAGCCTCCTCAGCGCCGCACACGGCACACGGTCCGCGCACCATGAGATGGTGCGGCGCTCGCGGACCCCCAGCAGGCCGCGGAGAAGCTCCTCCGCGCGGTGACGCTGAGCTAGACGCCCCGTCGCACTGAGAGCGCAGGCCCCTCTATACTCCAGAGCCGGCTTGTCCACACAGGTGTGGAGCGTGTGGAGATCTTGCGTCCGATCTTGAGGTGGACCTTTGCCGCCGCAGTGATGGAGGCAGCCCAAAATATGAATTATTAGGCCGATGCTCCGCTGCGTCGCGGCGCTAACGCTAGCGCTCGCGGCGCCGGCGCTGGAACAGGGACAACAAGGCCGGCGCGCGGCGCTGGCCGTGCCGCCGACGAGCGGCGGCGGCCACCACCACGGCACCGCCGGCACGGGCGGCAAGCACGCGGCGCGCGCCGCCGCGCGGCCGTCGAGCCGCGCGGGCGCGGCGCCGCCGCCGCCGGTGCGGGCGCCACCGCCGCCGCGGCGGTCGCGCGCGGGCGCCACGGGCGCGGTCCGCGCGGACGCCGACGGCGCCGAGGCCGCGCGCGCGTCGCGGCGGCGATCCGTCGTCGGCGGCCGCGCGCCGGCCGTCGACCGCCCGGCGCGCAAGCCCCTCGCCGACGCGCTCCCGGCGCGGCGCGGCCGCGCGCCCGAGCGGAGCGCCAGGGACGCGGCCCCGGAGCGCGGCCGCGCGCCCGCGCGGAGCGCCGAGGACGCGGCCCCCGAGGCGCGGCGCCCTGGCTCGCAGAGGCTCCGCCGCGCGCCGTCGGAGCAAACCCGCGAGCCGCCGCGCGCGTCGAGGCCCGCGGCGCCGGACGCGGCCCCGCGCGCGCCCGCGCGGCCCCCGGCGGCGCGGAGGCGCCGGCCGCCGGAGGCGCTGCCGTCGTGCCTCTACCCGCACCTGCCGAAGCACGCCAAGGGCCGGGGCTGCTGCGGCGGCTGCCCGCGGTGCCCGCCCGTGTCGGACCCGTCGGAGCCGCTGCGCATCCTCGGCGCGAACCACAAGACGGGGACCGTGCTCGGCGAGAAGGTCCTCGGCGCCGTCCGCGAGGCGCGCGTCGCCGGCGCGTGCCTCGCGGCGGCGTCCACGGTGCGCGACGTCCACTGGCGCGGCCTCGCGCGGTGCCGGCCCGAGAAGTGCGGCGCGGACTTCGCGGGGCGCCGCGCGCTCGTCGTCGCGCTCGTGCGGGACCCCTTCGAGACGGTCGTCTCGGGCTACCTGTACCACCTGGCGGGCAAGGAGAAGTGGTGCACGCTGCCCATGAACGGCGACGCGCCGGGCCACGGCGCCGTGAGCGCCGGCTGGCACCGGCACATCCTGGCGGTCATGGGCCTCGACGCCGTCTACGCGAGCGACCTCGCGGGGACGAACGACCGCGAGTCCTACGAGCAGTACCTCGGGCGGTCGACCCGCCGCGACGGCCTCGTGGCCGAGTTCGTGCGCGCGTCCAAGGGCGACCTGCCGGGCGTCGAGGCGTCCTTTGAGGACGCGGCGGCGGCGGGCGAGCGCCGCAACGCGTCCGTCCATTGCATCGACGACCTGACGGCGCCAAAGTCGACGTCGCGCGACCCCTTCGCGGAGGCCTGGGCGGCCATCTTCGACTTCTTCGAGTACCCGGCGGCGTCCGTGGGGCCCGCCGTCGCCGCCGCGCGCGCGCACGACGCCGCGCTGGACCCGTCGGCGACGTCGGGCCACGGGACCTCGGGCAAGGGCCTCACCGCCAAGGTCCGCGCGAACCGCACGCAGCTCTTCCGCACGGCCGTCGCCGTCGACCGGGACGTCTTCGGCGGCAAATACGCGCGGCTCTCGCGGAAGCTCGGCTGCCCCCAGCCGTCCGCGCGGCCGCGATAGGAGCGGCGTCGATTCGTGAACTCGACTTTGATATTGCTGTCCAAGTTGCCGCGCGTCCCGGCGCACATCAGTGTTACGCTCCATCTCCCCGCGAACCCGGCTACTTCCGGAGGCGCAGCGTCGCGAGGGCCGCGCCGAGGGCCAGGCCCGCCGCGAAGACGGCCGCGCCGGCGGCCGCCGGCGACGGCGCGGCGAGGTCGCGCTCGTACTCCATGAGCTGGAAGACGAAGCGGTCGTTGGGCCACGTCGCGTCCCAGTTGGCCTTCATGCACCTGGCCGCCTCGAGGAGCGTCATGCCCTTCTTCTGCATGAGGTAGGCCAGGATGAACGCCGCGGATCGGCTCAGCGACGCGTGGCAGTGGACGAGCACGTGGTCGCCGCGCGCGAGCGCCGCGGCCACGGCCTTGTTGACGGCGTCGAAGTACTGCTTCGCGTCGCCGGAGCAGCGCTTCTCCAGCGGCACGTCGGGGTCGCGGCACGCGCTCGTCGTCGGCTTGCCCTGGTCGAACGCCTTCCGCTCGTCGGGATCGTCCTCGAGGGGTATTTCCATCACTTGGACGTCCGGGCCCCAGAACCCGGTGCGCGCCTCGCACTGGCAGAGCGCGCTGTTGACGACGAGCGTGATGGGCGCGCCCTTGGTCGCGGCTTTTAGTTTTTCCTTGCTGTCGATGTCGTGGTAGTGGGCCGTCCAGAGGCCGGGCAGGATCTCCACGGGCTTGCAGCCGTGGCCCCGGGCGGGGCGCACCCAGGAGGTCACGGTTCTGAAATCTTCGAAGGATGTGTAGCCCATCGTCGTTAGCGACGGGTGATGGATGCGCGGCGGACGACGGGAGTGGCGGAGAGGGCTCCGCTGCCACAAAAAATGGCGACTGCTTGACATCTTCAAGAACGAAGTTGCACGAGGCGATGGCCGTCGCGCTGGCCGTCCCCGGCTGGCACGACGGCGGCGCGACGTTGGCGCAGCAGTCGTTCCTCGGCGGCGCGCCGCACTACCTCGACGGCGTCGCGCGACCGGCGCCGCGCTGCGGCGTCTGCGGCGACGCCCTGCCGCTCATCGCGCAGCTCTACGCGCCCGTGCACGTTTCGCGCGCGCTGCACGTCTTCGGCTGCGCGCGCTGCTCGCGGGACGGCCGCGCCTGGGCCGTGCGGCGCACGCAGGAACGCGCGGAAACGACGGCCGCGGCGCCCGCGGCGCCGCCGCCGCCGCCCGCCGAGCCGGCGCGGTGGGCGTCCGCGGACGACTGGGGCGTCGACGACGACGACGACGACGTGGACCTCGAGGCGCTCCTGCGGCAGCATGAGGCCGGGCCCGCCGCGCCGGCGGCGCCGCCGCCGCCCGCGAAGGCCGCCGCGGCTCCCGAGGCCGCGCCGGAGGCGGCGCCGGCCGCGGCGTCGTTCCCGCGGCGCGCGCTCGCGTGGGTCGACGAGCCCGGGGGCGCCGCCGCGCCCGTGGACTCGGACGACGACGACGACGGCGCCGCGGGCGGCGACGACGCGGCCATGCTGCGCCGCGCGGCCGCGTACCTCGACGGCGGCGGCGACGACGACGCGGCGAGGGCCGCGGTGCGCGCGGCCGTCGGCGGCGGCGGCGCGGCCGCCGCCGCCGCGGCGCCGTCCGACGACGCCTACGAGGCCGCGCCGTCCGACGACGTCGCGCAGCTGCGCTTCAACCACCGGCTCGCGCGCAAACCGAACCAGGTCGCGCGCTACGACTACGGCGGCGCTCCTCTCTGGCCCGCGGCGGCCGCGCCGGCGTCCGCGCGGGCCTGCGCCTGCGGCGCGCCGCGGCGCTTCGAGGTCCAGCTCCTGCCGACGCTCATCGCGACGCTCCGGTCCGACGACCTCGACTTCCGCTGCGTCGCGATCTTCTCCTGCGCGGACTCGTGCGCCGCGTCGGACGCGGAGGTCGTTTTCGTGGAGCCCGCGCCGGGCCTCCAGGACCTCCGGGACAACTAGAAAAATGTTACTGCTGGATGTAGGCCGGGGCCCGCGGCGCCTCGCCGTCGGCGACGAAGTACTCGAAGAGGCCCGGCCGCCACGCGAGGACGTCGACGTCGCCGTGGGTCACGCCGCGGTGGAAGGCCGTGCCGGCGCCCTCGGGCGTGAAGACGGCGACCCACATGCCGTCGACCTGGTTGTTCATGCGGCCCGGCGGGATCTTGGCGACGAAGCGGTTGTCGTTGAGCCAGCGGCCGACCTCGCGGCTGCCGTCGTCGCGGAGCAGCGCGCCGTTGATGATGCGCTTGTCGCCGAAGCGCCGGTTCTCCCACTTGGTCCAGGGCGTCGCGTCGTCGTCGTCGTCGCTCGAGTCGTAGTAGACCGTCGTGTCGTTGCGGCTCTTCTCGCCCTCGGGCCGCGGCGGCGGCGGCGGCGGCGGCGGCAGCGGCGCCGCGCGCGCCGCGGGCGGCGGCCGCGCGAGGAAGACGTGGGACCCGTCGGCGAAGGCGCCGAGCTTCTGCGTCGCCTCGCCGCGCTCGCCGTCGTAGACCTTGAGCATGCCCGCGCGCGCCGGCCGCTCGCCGCGCGACCGCTCGTAGAGGCGGGCGAAGAGGGGCCGCAGCGTCGACGCGGGCTTCTCCAGCTGGTCCTCGGGCACGTCGACGAGCAGCGACAGGTGCTTCGCCTCGTCGTCGCCCTCGTAGTAGTGGAGGAAGAGGCGCGGCATCGTGGAGAGCGGGCTGCGAGAGGCCGCAACCTTGAGAGATGGCGCAGGTGCGGCGGGACCATGGTGATTGAAGATTTGGGTGAACTTTTAGGGGCTGCCCTTCGATCGAGCACCACCCGCGCGGTCCCCTACGAGGTCGATCGACATGGTCATGCTCGCCTCCGACATCGTGCGTCCTTCCCCGCTCCAACGCGCGCCCTTGATCCGTGCTCGTAGGCGCCGGGCTCCCGCGCCGTCATCGGCGGCAAGAACGGCGCGCGCATGCGCAAGTTCATCGAGATGGACTCGGCGAAGATGGGCGAGCTCGCCAAGGGCGACGAGGTCCAGGTGCTCCAGCACAGCCACGCCCTCGACGGCACGGCGCGGTCCGAGATCTGCACGGTCAAGGGCGCGCGCCAGGGCTGGATCTCCACGAAGTTCCTCGCGTTGGCGGCCGGCGAAGCGCCGGAGCGGCCGGCCCCGGAGCCCGCGCGCGGCGACCTCAAGGCCTACGCGCCGCCCGTGGCGCCGGCGCCCGAGGGCCCCTTCAGCGCTTTGGCGTTGGAGCCGAAGCGCAACGACGGCATCACGTGGAACGACCACCAGGCAATCATGGAGAAGCCCAAGCCGATCGTCGTGCCGGACCACGTCGGCGCGGCCGCGCGCGTCTGCGTGGACCACGACTGGGACGACGGCCCGCGGGACCACGCGAAGCGCATGACGCGCAAGGAGCTGGCGCCGCTCCACTACGAGGCGCTCCGCGTGGCCCAACAACAGGTCAACGGAAGAGTCCTGGACGCGTGCGCGGCGAAGCGCCACGCCCACTGCGCCGTCGCCGTCGGCCCGCGGCCGGACCCGGGCGCGGGCGTCGCCGCGTCGGGCCGCGGGCCGCCCTGGCGCGTCGAGGCGCCCGACGGCGCCGACGCGTTGATCCCCGCGAAGACGGCCGCGCGGCTCGCGCGGCTGCTGACGTTCGTCGAGAAGCGCGGCGGCACGGCGTCGGCGCTGGAGCGCGTCCCCGGCCGCGTGTCCATCTGCGTGGCGACGCGCAAGGGCGAGCGGCGCCACCACCGGCGCCTCTACCGCGCGTTCCTGGACTGCGACTACGTCGACAAGGAGCTGGTGGTGTTGGACGTCACGCCGGGCAAGGAGACGTCGAGCCCCTTCTTCGCCGAGGGCCTGCGCCTCGAGCCCGCCGAGGAGTTCGAGAAGGGCGACCGCGTCGAGTGCCGCTGGAAGAGCGAGACGAAGTGGTACCCCGCGACCGTACTCAAGCGGCGCTTCATGTCCGACAACTACGACGTGCAGTACGACCACGCGGACATCAACAACAAGAAGCACGAGGAGCAGGACCTGGGGCCCCACCTCATGCGGCGCCTGCACCGCGCGACGGGCAAGGGCAACGTCCAGGGCAGCAAAAGAGAGCGACATTCCCAACTTAGGCTCCTATCTCGGCCGTTTTCCACTCGTTTTGGCTGGTTTTTGGACGAGCGATCATCTCTCGGAACGGTCTCGAAGCGTGGATGCTTTTTCCGGAACGCGCGCGCGCGGAAAACTCACGTTGAAGCGACGTTGAATCACTCTTTTGCTGCCCAGGCAACGTCGGCGCGGGCTTCCGCTACGTCCGCCAGCACTGGAACGAGCACCTGTCGAACGGCGAGCTCCGGAATTCGCTCGTCGCGCTGTGCACGGGCGAGTACGTGGCCTTCTACGACTGCGCGACGCGCGTCTACGCCTCGGAGTACGTCTCGGCCATGGTGTCCGCGCTCGAGCGGACGCGCGCGGAGATGGCCTGCCTCCACGACCGCTACGTCGCCTACTGCGACGCCCACGCCGTGCACTGGGCGCGCGAGACGTCGGCGCAGGACGGCGCGAAGCTCGACGCCGCCACGGGCCTCCCGAAGGCCGCCGACGACATGGACGACTTCTTCAAATTCTGGGACGCGTCGACGTTCGTGTTCCGGGCGTCCGCGTTCCGGCCGAAGCTGCACCCGGCCGTCGCGCCGCGCTTCGAGAAGGAGCGGCCCACGTCGGGGGGCTGCTTCGACGACCGGTCCCACGAGGAGGACCGCACCTTCCGGCCACTGACGCTCGGGCTCCGCGACGGCTACGGCCTCTTCGCGCGGCTCCGCGTCGCGCCGAAGACGTCGGACTTTTCCAACGTAGCGCCGCCGGGCGCCTGCGAGCCGCCGGCGACGGACCGCGAGCTCCAGCGCCACGTCGCCGACTACGCCGAGGCCATGCGCGACGTCGCGCCCAACGGCGACCTCCTCGCGCGCCACACGCACGTCTACAGCAAGGACCGCTACGGCAAGATCTCCGCCACGGAGGCGAGCCTCATCCGCGGCTTCAACTGAACGGCGGGGGCGCGCCCGGCGCCGCCGCGGCGTAATTCGTACGGCACTACCCCGGCAGGCTCCCGGGCGGGCGGCTCCGTCGACCTTCAAGCTTGCAGGCCTCCAAACTCTCGCAAGCAACGCCGCTCGCACCTTTTTGGCTGCCTGTCGGCTTTGCGCGCGCGGCAGCCCAATCAGCCGCCATGGGCGTGCGGTCGAGTACGCTCACGGGGCGGTCCGTCGTCGACGAGCGGCTGCGGCGGTTCACGGCCTGGGACGACAAGCGCGTCGAGAAGATGCAGCTGGCCCACGTCCACGACCTCGGCGGGCGCCTGGCCCTGGGGCCGAAGCACTTCGTCGTGCTCCTCAAGCTCGACGAGGAGGAGGCGCTGCCCATCTTCCACGAGGTCTTCGACACGGACAAGAACGGTTTGGTCGACGCCTTCGAGGTCATGTCCGCGGTTATCGTGCTGTCGTCGATGCCGATCAAGCGCAAGGTCGACACGCTCCACGGCCTCTTCGACTTCAACTTGTCCGGCGAGCTGACCATCGACGAGCTGACCATCTTCTTCCGCACCGTCGCCGCGGGCTGCGGCAAGATGGACGACACGGTGAAGCCGCCGCGCATCGCGCAGCTCGAGGAGGTGACGCGGTGGGCGTTCACCAAGGCCGCGCGGTCGACGGACAGCGACCTCACGAAGACGGAGTTCGACCGCTTCGTGTTCACGGACCCGGCGATCCGCCACTTCCTCGAGTACTTCGACCAGGCGAGCTCCCAGGTGCTGATCGCGGACGGCTGCAAGTGGGAGGATCCGACGGTCTTCTTCTACGACGACGACGCGAAGCCGCCCGTGGGCCTGCCGTCGCCGGGCGTGTCGCTGCAGCTCATGCGGCCCGAGGACTTCATGATCGCCACGCCCAAGCTCTTCAAGGACGAGGCCGAGGTCGGCAAGCTGGTCCAGGGCGGTTTGTCGGACGTCTGGTTCCTCTCGGCCGTCGCCGTGCTGCTGACGAACCCGAAGAAGCTGCGGAAGCTCTTCGTGCAGACGGGCCAGGAGGACCCGGAGGGGCGCTTCGCGTTGCAGTTCTACCGCGACGGCTGCGCGACGGTCGTCTACGTCGACGACCGCGTGCCCGTGGACCCGAACCGCCGGCCCTGCTTCGCGCGGACCGACGACCCCTGCGAGCTCTGGCTGCTGCTGCTCCAGAAGGCCTTCGCGAAGCACCACGGCGTCTACGAGACGCTCAAGGCCGGGTCGACGCGCGACGCGCTCGCGACGCTCACGGGCGGCACGTCGACGGTCGTCGATTTAAGAGGCCTCGAGTTGGAGAAGCTCTGGGCGACGCTCAAGGAGCTGCTCGAGGCGGGCATGCTCGGCGTCCAGGTCGACTGGAAGCCCGGGCTGCGGCGCCGGCCGCCCTGCGGGCTCCTGGCGGGCCACGCGTACGGCGTCGTGAAGATTTTGGAGGCCGGCGGCCGCGGCGGGTCGAAGATGGTCAAGCTCATCGACCCCTGGGTCGAGGGGCTGCCCAAGGGCAAGTGGACCCGCGGCAGCCCCCACTGGGCCAAGCACCCCCAGGTCGTCGAGGACTGCGCCTACGAGCCGAACGACGAGCTCGGGTTCTGGCTCGAACTCGACGAGTTCGCGGCGACGTTCCACGAGGCCTTTAGCGTGAAGACCTACGACCCGGCGGTCTGGAACACGCAGCGCCGCGGCGCCCAGTTCCCCGCGGCGCCCGAGGGCGGCTGCTTCAACATGAACTCGTGGGTCGCGAACCCGCAGTTCTTCCTCGAGCTGCCGAACGCCGCAGATTTGGTGATCACGCTGTCCCAGGGGGACCTGGACGGCGACTTGGAATCGCTGGGTTTAGCGGTCGTCGAGTATGACTACGGCGACGACAAGGGCGACGTGAAGAAGGTCGCGACGATCCTCACGGACGCGGTGCGGGGGGTTACCAAAGACTTTCTGAAGCGCAAGGAGATCACGATGGCCCTGAAGCTGCCCGAGGGCCGCTACTGCATCATCCCCATGACCTTCAAGCCGCCGAGGAAGGGCGGCGCGTGCTACGTGACCACGAAGTGCACGTCGCCGCACGTCCTCCTCAACGAGAACGAGATCCTCGCGCAGGAGCAGCCGACGACGGGCGTGTCCGAGCACGACCAGATCCTCCTCGACGCGGACCCGGGGCCGCGCGTCGACCCCCAGCCGGACATCGAGACCCTCGCCGTGCGCCAGCTCTACCACCTCGTCGGCAAGATGTGGGCCCAGGCCCACGGGCTCCTCCACGAGAAGCGCAAGCTCAAGGACCGCCTCTCGACGCTCATGAAGGACGCGGAGGAGGCCAAGCAGGAGAAGGCCAAGGAGGCCGAGGAGAAGGCCTAGGGCCGCGCGCGCGCGGCCGCGGGCGTAGAGGGACCGCCAGGCTGCGGCGCGGGTGCTCAACGTGCGGAGGGTGTAGGTTCATTGAACTTCAATAACGACCGTCTGTCGGGAGCGTCGATCTGGGGCCATCATGCTCACGCTCCCGCCCATCCGCTGCGGCCGCCCGACGACGCGGACCGTGGACGGCTGCTTCTCGCCCGTGCAGAAGCGCGACCCCGCGTCGCGCCGATTTTCGAGAGGGCTTTCGGCCGGGAACCTCGCCAACAAACCGTCGGGGCTAGGTTCCGGTCGACGTCGAGTTCGCCGAGCCGGTCCTTCGGCGACAGCTTCTCCGACGAGCTCTTCAAGCCCATCCGCGGCGGCATCGCGGAGCGCGACGGCAACTCGCTCGAGGCCTGGCACGCGGCCCACGCGGACATCGTCGTGTCCAGGGAGATCGAGAGCCGGCGCCGCCGCGAGATGCTCATCCTCGCGCCCAAGGACGACGACGACGAGCCCGTGGCCGCGCCGACGGCCAAGGACGAGGACCTGACCATCGCGGGCTTCATCGCGCAGCGCGGCGGCATGCCGTCCCGGGAGCTCCAGCGGTGCCTCCGGACCACGCTCCGCTGAGCGCCGCGCGACGCGCGCGCGCGGAAGGCTCGCCCCATTCGAGGACCCCTACGACGCAGTCGTTATTCTTGACTTGGGGCGGCGGCGTCCGAGGATGCGCGGGTATACCGACGGTATATGCCGGTATATACCCGTCCCGCTAGGTCCGGGTTTTCCGGCCGGTTTACTTCGAGTTGTCCTTGTATTCGCCGCCGTCGACGGCGACGCCGTCGCAGTCGACGGGCTTCGTGAGCATGGGCCCCTGGGGCAGGACCTCGATGAGGTAGCCGTCCGGGTCCTTGACGAAGGCGAGGCCCTTCATGCCGCCCGAGTTCGGCGTCTTCGAGAAGGTCGCGCCGAGGGCCTTGAACCGCTCGCAGGCGTCGTAGACGTCGGGCACGGTAATTCCCAAGTGGCCGAAGCCGCCCTTGACCTTGCCGCCGTCGCCGGAGCCCGTCGCGTCGCTGTTGCCCGTGTTGTAGACGGCGCCGTCCGCGGCCTCGGAGCCGTGGTTCCAGGTCAGCTCGACGCAGCCGGGCGTCGTCATGCAGTACCGCCAGCGCGCGTCCTCGTCCTCCGGCACGGGGCCCGCGAGGCCGTGCGCGACGAAGTAGACGGAGAACCCCCACTGGGGGAAGTCGCGGAACATGACGAGCCGGAAGCCCAGGACTTCGCAATAGAATTTCAACGACGTCTCCGGGTCCTTGACGCGCACCATGACCTGCTGCATCATGAAGTCCTTCGTCTCCGGCGGCTGCGCCGTCGCATAGAAGGGCGTCGGATCGAAGAGCGCCGGCGCGGACGCCATCCGCGTCGGCGCGGCGCGGCGAGCGGTGATCTGTGGCGCGGCGCGGCGAGCGGTGAAGGCGCGCGACGAGCGCAGCAACGTGGAGGCGAGGACGAGAGACGCTCTCAACATAAGCGAGCTCCTTGAGCGGCAATCGTGGAGGCGAGCACGAGAGACGCTCTCAACATAGGCGAGCTCGGTGAGCGGTCTTCAACGAGACTTCAATGACATCTTCAACATACTTACGGCGGCCAGACCAGCTTCTCCAGGCCGTAGT